TCTTACGTTAACATTTTCACACTGAGAAATACATATCTAAATTGTCTTTATTATAGATCTAGTGATTTATTGTCAGGTAACAAACTATCCCAACTTTTTCAATATAAAATCAGAATCATTTTATTTTTACTCAAATATTCTGTGAGTTGGTTACTTAGACAAGGGAAGTGGGGATGGTTTGTCTCGGCTTTATGGTATCTATGACTTTTCATGGTTGAGAACTGAAGTTTGAGAAGCTTCCGTACTCACGCTCTGACTCCTGGGTTTGCTTAACCCGAAGGCTAGGTTCAGCTGTGACTTGGGGGAGACTTAAACAGGATATGATATGAGCTTATTCCTCCGTAGCAGTTGGTTCTTAGAGGAAGTGTCTCAAAAGGGGGGAGGGGGGATACAGGTAGTAAAAATCCAAAAGAATAATGGGACAAGAGCTGTATATTTATGATCTGACCTCAGAAGGCACAGGGCATCACTTCTGCTATTCTCTTAGTCAAGACAGTCACAAGTCCACGCAGAGTCAAATCACAAGTGCGCCCCTAGCTAGAGGTGTCGAAGAAAGCAGGACTGTTTAAAAACCATCGCTGAAGATATGATTGATTTTCTGCTCTCCAGAGATTCTCTGAACTGCCTTTTCTCTAAATCAATATTCTGCATCTGCAATATGGCCAGTCAGTGTTGAAAGTGCATATATAACCATTTATTTACCTTAAAGCACTTTTGGCTGCAAGTGACCAAAATGCTATCCTTTCAAACTGACTTAAGCAGTATAGAAAATTTATTAACCTAACTGAAAACTCCAGCAGGAAGATAGGCTTTGAGAGAGGGTTAGTTTCATGCCTCAGCAGTATAAAGTGATCTTCCCAACCCCTACTTCATTAATCTGCTGTTCTTAGTGTGTTTAATTTATTTTGCATCTAGTCCCCTGTGACTAAAAGATGACTGTCATGAGCTACCCTATGCTTACCCAGAGGGATAAAGAGTGTTTTCCTGGGCTACCCAGTGGCATGGTGGTTAAAGCAGCTGGATCCCACATGGCCGACTAGTCCTGGACCTAGCAAGTTGAAAAACATGCCAGGCATGTGAATTATAGTCACATTGTTGTATATTAGATCTCCAGGATTTGCTCAAGTTGCATTAAAATAAATTTCTATTTCTACATTGCTTCCAAAAACATTTGAAGGCCATTTCTAGGGAATCCAAAAGATTCCCAGGAACCTCTCAGATATGATTAAGCTCCTGTTTACTAAGATGAAGCCCAGATTCTCCAGCATAGAGCAGGCCTCTGACAAATTCTGCCCCTGGGACGGTCTACTCTAGGGACATAGTGAACTGCACTCATCCCATTTCTGCAGTTCTGCCTCAAGTGACTATGACTTTGCTGATAGTTTTTCCTCAACTTCAGATGCTTTCAGTAACCACAAAGCATGACCTCTGTTAGACACATCTCAGGGACAATTGTGTAATAATATTATTGTCTTTTCAAGCCACCAGATCCGTGACTCGAACTGCATGGTCGGCCATGTGGGATCCAGCCACTTTAACCACCACACCACTGGCTGGCTGCATACCCTTCCACACAAACCTATTCTTAAAACATTGCCTCCTCCTTTTACTGGGCCCCACAAGTCTTCACTGACTTATGTCATGGCCCATAGTACAACTTCTTGCATTTAATAATGGTTTAAATATCTATCCCACTCTACTACAATGGAGAATTTGAAGTCAGGTCTTTGCATCATGAGACTTTAAGCTGCTTTGATTTTTCCATGCATCTATCTACTCTATTCTCAATTACACTTATAATAACTTTATTATTTAAAAACAGTACATGCTCATTTTAAATTAAATAAATTTAGATCATTGAAAAATAATGCTAACTCTTACAACATACAAATGACCACTGCTGATACCTAAAACAATATCTCACTCTACCTACAGACACATACAATGAGATCAACATATGCACACACTCCCCAACACACACACCCCTCATGAATAAATCCATTCTGTAATCTGACCTATTGTCCTTTCAACAATGTCGAGGACACTGTCTATGTCAATGATATACCTATACATAATTTTTAATGACTGTTCATAACTCTCACTTATGGATTACTGTGGGTTTGTTTTGGTGGCCATTTATCAACATTAAAAGCAGTAATGGTGACAAAAACACCCTTGTATTCTTTACTTTCTTTGATTAGCTGCAGAGTCCTGGGCTGGTTTTATAACTCTCCTTAAGGCATTCCACATGTAGTCTCCTTTCCTTTATCCTCAAGCTATATCCTTTTAAAATTTCTATATATCAGGAGTAGGAGAGTGGGGTATTTAGTCAGATCTCTTATGAGAATCACCTTGAGTTACATAGTAAGTCCAACTTCGAACAGTTTTCCCTTTTAGGATATTTTATACAACAATTTTGTCTCACTCTTCCCTGTCACAGAAAGATAGCTGAATTGTGCCTGACCTTCCTCTATTCTGTGGTCATGAAATCCAAAATGATATATGATTATTTTCAATGGACATTACCAGTTTACCAACCACTGCTGGTGTTTGATAGAGATTGCTCACACACTTCACTGGGATACTTCCTCTATTCTGTGCAGCTGAAGTCAGGAACTGCTCAGATATGTCATTTTGCTATAATAAAACATCTGGTACAAATTTGGAAAGGATAAGCCCCAGTGCTATTAAACTTTCACGTGTCAGTTTTTGTGATGTGAGTCAGGAACATGTCATCTATTTCTTCAGTGTAACTCAGTAACCTAAGTATCGTTCGCAGTCTCCTCTGTCAAGGCTCCAGTCAAGGCTCCCAGAATTTTTCATCCTTCAGTTTGTTGAGTCAACATTACAGTGCAGTTTCTTACAGCACATGAGAGCGATAGAGAAGAGGAACATGAAAAAGCACCCTTCCAAGGGGCATGGCCACACTACATCCTCTTCTCCTCCATTCTCCTCTGAGGATTTTGAGCAGACACACACACATACCCACCATGCTTTTCAAGCTGCTGGGTCTGAAACTCAAACCATGCAGTCAGCCATGTGGGGTCCAGCCCACCTTAACTACCACACCACTGGCTGGCCCTGTATTTTCATACCGTACAGTACTAACACAACCAGTCTCCTAAAAAGCCTTTTGCTTCTATGACTATATTTTCATTTCAAATTCCATCTTACCATGTCTCAGGGACAACTGTGTCACAATATACGCTGTCTTAGGTTTTACTGTGAAGTGAATGTCATTTATTGCCCAAGCTCTAGTTATCAGTAGGTACAAATCTGAACAATCAGTGTCATCTCCTGCTCCCTCCCCAGTTACCTCATGTCATTAACTATTCCTCATGGGGCCCCATTTTCTTTTTCTCCTCCTAATTTTTCTTTCTCGTTATTCATGGTAGAGCATGTGTGTATCCATGTAAGAGTGAGAGAGAGAGAGGGGAACACCCTTCCTAGGATCTGGTCACACCACAGTCCCCTCTCTCCAGCCCTCCAGTCTGCGTGGAAGACTGTGGATCCTGGGCACATGTGTATGTGCCCAGCATATTTCAGGCTGGGAAATCAAACTGCAGTCTCCATGCTGAATGCACTTTCTTTCTTTTGTTCTTTTTTTTTGGGGGGGGAACAAATGTTATTTTTACATTTTTTAAATTAATTTTTAAATTTCCATTCAATATTATATAGCTTTACAGTGTGCAGCTATGCTTTTTCAAGCATGAATATGGTAGGAAACGATATAGAGATGCCTCAGAAATCTTTTTAAAGAAGGTACACTTGCCAGAGAGAGAGAGAAAGTACCCCTCGATGAGGCATGGTCACACACCTCAGTCTTTTATCCTCCATTTCTCCTTCCTGTCAGGAATTTGGACATGTGCATGTGCCTAGTGTGTCTTTCAAGTCACCGGGAACACGACTCCAACTGTGGTCAGCCATGTGGGATCCAGCTCCCTTAACTGCTGCACTGTGGGTCTACCCCATGGATCCAGCTTCTCTTGAGCAGCCTTACTACTGTGCTATGAAGCCACCCATTGTTACACTTTCCAGGTCATCTTTGTGCTCCTTTATAGCAGTGGTTCTCAACTAGAACAGATAGTTCCATCAAGGGATGTCAGCACTGTCTGGTGACATTTCACATTGTCTCAATGGGAAGGATACTTCTGGAATCTAAATGGCAGAGGTCAAGAATGCTGCTGATCATCCTATAATGCAGAGTATATCCGCTCTTGCCCCACCTCAACCCTGGAAAATGTTACCTTATTCAAAACGTCAATATGCCAAGATCGAGGAACTTTTCTGTATAGAAACTGTTTTCATGTTTTCCTATGTAAACTTTTACATTTCTCCTACCTCTGAGGTGTTCAGTTTAATAGAGTCTCTTAATTTGGACTAGCTACTCAGCAGCAAAAATTGGCAGGTTGTATCTCATGACAGGTATGTCTTACGTTTTGGTTAAAGTGGAGGTAGCAGCCATCATCTTCATCAAAAATGTTTCTCCTGTTGGTAAAATAATATCATATGACCAGCTAACATCTCAGCAGTTACACAGAATAGGGAATGAGGGAAGCAGAAGGATACTTCCATGTAAAGAATAAAACTTGAAAGAGTATGATTATCCTCAGATACTCTCTGCTTTAAATAAATACTGTTATGAAAGTTGTATTTACAAACATATTGAAGGCCAGTGGATGGTATGGTGGTTAGGGTAGCTGGATCCCATATGGCCACTCCAAAGTTCAAGTCCTGGACCCGATGGCTTGAAAATCACACCAAGTGCATATGCTTGAGTACCTAAAATCCCAAATGGAGGAGAAAGGACTGTGTGTGGCATGGCTATCCTCCCTGGGGTGAGGAAGGGGGAAGGATGATTTCTCACTTTCCCTCTCTGTCTGTCTTTATCCAGGGAACACATGTACCTCATACAAAAAAAGAAAAAATTGAAAAAAAAAATCTCCATGGACAGCTTAATACTAATACTGTTTCATTTTTTCTCCTTTTTTTGTCTTTAGACATTTCACATTTTCAAGAACAAAATGATTTAAAAGGTTTACTAGAAAATCTCCATCAAAATATCCAAGCCAAAAAAAGAAAGAATGTAGAAATCATGTGGCAAGCTGCGACGGTAAGCACTCTTGCGTCAGATCTTAGTCCCTCACATAACATGACCAGAAGCATCATCTACAATGCAGGCTCAACCCCAGCATGCGGGGTTACCAGATGTCTTCCTTCATTTTCCAAGGGACTGGGCATTTTAACTCTTGACAATACTTCTATCCATAGAATAGGACAAAAGATGGAGGGAGATGCACTCAACAAGAAAGGGTCTTTCTCATTGTCTGTTCTTATCCACCCTGGAGTGCTGTGCACTCTGAGGTTAAAACAAAGTATCTGTGATTTCCTCCGTATTGCAAGGTGCAGTGTCAGTTATTTGTATCAATCAGGATTCTGAACTGTTGCTCCAGAGACATATGGCTTCAACAGAATGGTGCTATCAGATCTCTGGCTCACAGCTTCAGAAAGACTCCTTGACATACTGTTCAGTTAATGAACTTGTAAATGTGTTTAATTTTTATATTGGCATAGAATTTATTGCTGATGGATTGGTCTAGGGTAATGAGCTATATTTTGTATTTTCTTTTCATTTGATGGCACCTTTAAGGTAGAAGATCTGCTTGCTTTCCTATCTCACAACTCTAAGAATTAGAGTAAGACTCCACGACCGTGTTCTTAAGTCCTTATTAAGCAACCATTCATGGATCACATGAAATTTATGATTTGTTGAACATTCATCCCCAAAGATCTTTTCATTAGGAAAGTATCCTTTCATCAGAGCATTGGAGATCTGTGTCATGAACGCCATGTTTGTAATTTCTGTAGTATTACTCCAACCATTCAGAATTCAGGTTAACCAACCTTCGATCAATAGCATTCTCTATCCATAGCATGTAAAGCAGAGCCTTTTTCCCTACCAGTGCTTCTGTTATAATCTAGTGTTATTTACTGTCTTCTGGGAAAGGGGAATGGCTAATTTGCCATAAGCCTATATACAATAATTTACCAAGAGCAAAGCAGAAGAAAGCTGCTTTAGTTTCCCTTCATGCCTCCTTGGGGCCTGAGGGAAGGACATCAAAAGTAACATATGAAGCCCTGCATTCAGGAAGCTCAGTTACGCTGGTCCCATTTAGCCCACACTGCATTACAGGATGGTTGCTTTTATTATAATAGTTCTTTCCCCAGTGTGGCCTCTCTGTATCTTCAAAGACTTCTATGGTTGTTAATTCTCACAAAAATTTCACAGTGGTAAGTCTTGAGCCATTTTTTATAATTTCCTAATAAGACATAGCCTAACGGTATTTGGATCAATTACCATGACCATCTACCAACTGAGGAACGTATACATGTGTCATTACATACAGACCATGAAACTATGATAAATCCATAAATTAAGGATACACACATGTAAACACTAGTGCATATTTTTTCTATTAGAATATACAATTTTCCGATGTGGCTACACAAAACTTTTTTCCCATAAATACTATACATTTCTAAAATATATTTCTGAAATGTGTGTAATGACCAAATAATGGCTTACTTTCAATTTACCATGAAATGCATGATGAGTAGCGTGTCTGTAGGCTGTCACCTGAGTTTCAATATCCCATTTGTAAGCCAAAAGCCTTAACAATACACTTCAAATGAAGAAATACAGAAATGACATTTTCCAAAAGCTTTTACTTCTGTCTCTATTTCATTTTCCTCTCTTCTTTCAATCTGTTTAATGAAATACTGCTTTTGTTAATGTTTTACATTCTGATTGAAAAATATAAAGCTATTCGTTTTTATCTTGATTGAATTTAAATGACAAAAATAAGAATTTACAAAGTCCAAATACCAATTGAGTGTATTAAATCTAACTCTCATAGTTCAAGAGTTGTTGAATTACAGAAATCAAAACCTGACCTGTCTCCTCTAATGGAATTGCTTTGACCTCCACTGGACTTAAAATTTAGAACATTAAACGTCATAAGTAGGTTCAGGTACACAGAATCATAAATATCTCGAAAATATTATTTTTAAAGCTGTGTTTCCTAAGTAGCCATTAAAGACTACTTTATAATTATGAATGTAGTCAAGTTTATTTAAACAATGAATACTATTTACTTGAAAGACTGGGATTTGGATAACATAGTAAGATAATATAGTAAAACCCTACTCTCACATTTCTCTAATCAGTTCCATTGGAAATAGAAAGTACTAACCTAAGGTCTAAATTAATAGAGAGCTATAAACCCTCATTTAAGTATCAGAATCACAATTAAAACAGAAAAACCCCATGATAAACTGAATCAGAATGCTATCTCCTCAAAGCAGGTAACTTTTATGGCCTCCTTGATGACAGATAATGAAGAAAGCTTTTATTGTAGCACATTAATTTTAAATGCATGTTGATTAGAACTGTTGATCCTGAAGCTGATTATTAATACCTCATATAAGAACCCCACCATGGACTAGAAGCAAAAGAAATGGAGTGAATCACCTATTAACGATAAACCAATGAGACAAAAGAATATTGCTGTTCAGAGATTTTTCTCTGACTTAAATCAGAACAACAAGAACAAAGAATTATAAAGAAAATAGAATGCAGCAGATGTTCTGGGGCCTGAAGGTGGTACAGATAGACTGTGGTGCTCTGCAAGACAGTGCCAAATGGGAAGGTTCCAGGTTTAAGTTCAGGGTCCTCACTGAGCATGACAGGAACATGTGTGACCATGGTTCAGAGCTAGCTGAAGGCGAGGGGTAGATCATGTGTCAAGTCTCTGCTGGGGGTGCTGTCTTTCTCACTTATGAAATAAATAAACAAATAAACACACACAAGAAAAGAAAGAAAGAAAAAAAAAAAGAAGAAGAAGAGGAAGCAAGCAAGTTGGGCCAGCTCTGTACTGTAGCAATACACCAGTCAGGAGAAGCCAGATCCTACATGGCAACTGAGATTCAGCTCTCTGGCCTGGTTATCCTGAGACATGGCAGCACTTGTGTAAGTGCCTAAGATCCAGCAGGCTGAAGGGACCAGAGGGTGACCAGAGCCTATGGAGGGTGCTTATCTTTCTCTCTCTCTCTCGTGTGTGTGTGTATACACATGCTCTATAATGAATAAAGAAAAAAGTAGAAATTGGGACCAGCAGATGGTGTAACAGTTATGTTGCTGGACTCCCACATGGCCAACTGCGGTTTGAGTCCTAGACCCAGTGACTTGAAACTCATGCCAGGCAGGTGTGTGTGTGTGTATGTGTGTGTGTGTGTGTGTGTATGCGCCGAAGATCCTAGAAAGAAAATGGAGAAGGGACTGTGGTATGGTTACACCCTCTGCAGGGGGATTTCTCACTTTCCCTCTCACTGTCTCTCTCCAGCAAGCACACACACCCTATGGCAAAAACCTCTACAAAAGTAAATAAATAAATAAGACATTAAAGACTCAGTCACTGGACTTTAATTGATGTATGTATGCATCCCAATACTCCGTTGTGTGCAAGTTAATTAGCCTACCTGAATCTCAGTCTCCTCATCTATAGAATGAGAATAATTATACCTACCATTCTCTAGGGTTCATCTAAGGTTCACTGAAAGAGGAAATCTATACGAAGTATCTTGGCACTGGACCTGGTACACAGCAGATGTAGATGTGCAATAAACAGTGTTCTTTTCCCTAGCACTGGTGAGTGGTTCCCTTAGTGGCCATAAAACACCACATGGATGTTTAAAATCACGTAACATGAACGTAAGACTGACACACATTTCTTTAAAGTTTATTTATTTTTTCTATGAGAAAGAAAGAAAAATAAACTTAGCATCTTCAACAGCACTGCCATGCTGCAACCTGCTCCTGATCTCAGCCAGCTTTGATCACTGACTCAGAAGGGCACACGAGCGTGTACACACACACACACACACGCACTGTGTTCAGGGAGGCTGCAGGACCTCTCCTCCCATCAGGCCCAGTTGTATTACTGCAGCATCATCACTGGCACTAGCAAAGGTTTCTTAAATGTGAAAAGCAAACATATTAGCTATTTAGGATTCAAATCAAGTGTCTGTTCCCCTTTACTAATTTTTTTGTTTTTGGAGAGGTTTTTTTCGCTATAGGGCATGTGCGCTCGCCAGACAGAGAGAGACATAGAGACAGAAAGCGAGAAATCACCCCCTAGGGGGGATGGTCACACTGCAATCCCTTCTCCTCCATTCTCCTCTTGGATCTTGGGCACACACGCACACGTGCCCAGCGTGATTTTTAAGCCACTGAATCCAGGACGCGAACTGCGGTCGACTACGTAGGAGTCCAGCGACATAGTCATTACGCTAACTGCTGGTTCCCTCCCCTTTACTATTAAGGTGTTTTCCCATATTTACAGTTCAGTTGCTCTTGAGCTGGGAGTACCGTCATCATCCACTACAAATCAAGCACACTCTTGGGCAGCATTGCTTCCTCTGCTGGATGTTGCACATCTCATACGCTTCCAACAGTCCCACACCTCATATACAAAGAGCTAAATCCATCCCACTGGCTTTTGAAATGGAAAGGTAACGTGTTTATGTTCAGTGGGGCAGATTGAACCAATTGACTATCAATTACTGTAAATGCAGCCATATTGTTGTGTTTAGATGAGGAGTTAGAGAAGGCCCACCCTTCACGATCATCTACAAGTATCAGTAACACATTTTCACATGTGTGTTACAGATATGCCGCAAATTAAATGGTATTCGCTTCACCTGCTGTAAAAGTGCCAAAGACAGGACGTCGATGTCGGTGACACTGGAACAGTGCTCCATCTTGAGAGACGAACACCAGCTGCACAAGGACTTCTTTATCCGAGCACTGGACTGTATGAGAAGGTATTTCATGTGACTTCAGGTTTATTGGTTTATTTTTTTATTTTTTTTAAGGTCATTTTTGATTAGTTGTTGTTGCCACTGTTTTCACATGCATAGTTTACAGGAGGACTAAATACTTAATAGCTTCAGTGTATTCTCATGGGCTTAGCTCATGACATGAGAGATAAAACACTTTGAAATACCGCTCCTACTCATTTTTGGCAATAAAAGAAAATGTGGTTGTGCACACATTTGATAATATGCACGGAGGCCATATTTCATCAGCTCTTTAGCTCGAGGAAAAGGGCTCTGAGCATATCATACATAACATGTGGAGAGCACATTTTCTAGGCATGTAAGTAATCATGAGTACATGCAAAATAAAAGTAAGTCATTATGCAAACAAAACCTTTCCAAATTGCAACTGATAGGAGATCTTCCCATGGCCTGCAGGGTCTCTGGGTCAGCAAACCCTCTTCTTAAAATGATTTTCACATAACGCATCATAAAGATGAGACGATACTAGCAGTTTAAAATAGAGAATGGATATTGTTACTCAGCCGATATTTAAAATGCCAGGCCCGAAGTCATGTTTCTTGATTCATTTCCACAGTAATTAAATCTAAAATCTGAGCCATAACGGGAAGGAAAAAAGTGCCTCATTCACAATGTCGATCAGCAAGGACACATGTTAATTAAAAAGTTAAGCGGAATGGTGTCTTTGCTATAAAGACTAGCTCAGAAGCACACCAGGAAATGTGGGACAGGCTCCCAGTTCCAACGTGAAAGGAATGCCATGTGATACGCTAGAGAGGGCAACTTTCTACCTGGTGCAGTTAGCTCCTACTTTTCTCTGACATCCTGTGGTCTTTCAGGGGAGACATTGACGCATGCCTGTGCTCGTTCCGTGTCTGTGTGTTTTTCCACTAACGAGAGGTTTCTGAAGTCCTGTATTTTACCCCGTTTCATGACTCCTGGCATTTTCATTGTTCAGGCGTGCTTTCTCATAACTTTTTGAGAAATGTATGAGGATGTCTTGGAGGCCTGACATGAACATCTCAGCCATATAAAAAACATTTGGTTAATAAAAAAAAAAAAAAAAAAAAAAGCTCTTTCAAAAAGAATCTCTCAGCACTAACGGGAAAAATTCAGAATCAAGTATAAAACCTTCTAAGGTGCAGAAAAAGAATATAAATGTCACTCTGGTGAAACAAAGGTGTTGGTGAGGAGAACAGGGGCATAATATCAAAGGCCAGGAACAACCTAGGACCAAAGTGATTAAACTAACAGATTATCTGGAAGGTGATAGTGTTACCGATTTATTGATGATAGAGGTTAAGAGAGAACCCTTATATTAGGAGGATAATTCTTTCAAATTGATAAATAAAGAGAACACATATCATACACATGTTTAACTATAAAACTGCATATTTGGTATTGCATAACATTGTTCAGAATCAACACTGTATATGCGACACATCTGCTTAACATTTATGGGGGTTTGTTTTAAATTGTCCAAGAAACGAGGTATCAGAAATTGAATTTAAAAATATGAAAGGCCTTACCTTCCATCTCTCTCTACTACTTAGTGATCTTCTCTTACATTTTTTTTTTTGTCTGTGTGTTTTTTTGGTAAATTTCCAATCTGCCAAATTTATCAACAGGTTTTATGTTTATTTGAAGGCAGCATGAAAGTTTGAGGGTTCTCTGAATGTACAAGTATAAGTGCATGTATTTGAAGAAAATAAGACATGCTCTTTAATAACTACCTTCATTTCTCTCTTGGGTAAGCTTTTTTATGGTAAAGGGTTATCAGTTTATAAACTGACAAAGTAGCAGATTAGATAAGAACATGGGACTAACCTGAGTTTGAATATAAGCTATATACCACTTACTAGCCAAGGCAAGTTGATCTCTTAATGTCTCTTAGTGCCTTAGGTAACTTAGTCAACCTCTTGGTGTCTTAGTTTTATTACCTATAAAATAGATGAGATAATAATAATAATGGCCTCTTTTTAGAAATATCTTAAGGATTCAATTAATTAATTTGTGTAAAAGTGATTAGAACATGTGACACATGGTAGTTGTTAACTGATGTTCGATAAACAAACAATACATATTGAGAGTCCTGAGATTAACTTTCCAATCTTCCAGGTACAATAAAATCTAGAAAATTATGACTCTTCTAAATTTGATGTCTATGCATATATTAGGACAGATTTTACTCCAGTACCATATAGTAAAATAAAGTATACTAGCAACTGTTGTAAATAAGGTTTCAAATGTAATATTCTTCTTATTTAAGAAAATAAACTTTGTAAACAGCACTTTAAGAAAATGCACTGGTACACAAATTCTGTGCGAATTATGGAAGCATTACATTCAGTAACGGAACCCTGGATAGGTTTCCTTTGAACAGATTTTATTTTAGTTTGTTTAGTTTTAGTTTTGTTTATTTTAATATATACCCTTATGAAGAATTACAGAATTTGAGGTTAAGATGTAACCTTACAAATTTCATCTTATACATAATGAAACTGAGCTCTAGAGAGTGTTTGGCAAAGACTTCTCAGATAGAAAATAGAGAGCCATCACTAGGACATAGGTCTCCTACTTACATTTAATATTATTTTATTTGTGCCAAATGAAGGAAAATCACTTAACATTATTTGGTAATGTATCAGCTACTTCAAACCTACTGTATCAACTACCTCAAAGTTAATGTTTAAGTCATAAACACACACACACACACACATATATGATCCCACATGCACACACATGATCCCACATGCATACATGCACATAGGACTGACCCTGGAACTTAGAATTTAAGAGAGCCAAGTCCCACATGGATGTAGGTTCAAGTCCTGGCCTCAGCAGTTTGAAACTCACACCAGGTTCATGCACATACACGCCCAAGATCCCGACAAAAATGGAGAAATGGAGAGGGGATTGTGGCACATCTTACTATGTGGTGCTCTCTCCCTCTTTCTCCCTTTCTTTGTCTCTTCCTGGCTAGCATAATATAAAAAGAAAAACAACATACGCAATTTTAGAAACTCAAGACTATCTACAAAACAAGTCTGTCTTACTCAAATATTGAGAGCCTGATAGAACTAACTCTAGATCTAAAATATACACCCTTTCATTTTATCTTTGTTACTCATATCTACCATTTTATCCAGGCACTGAGCCCTGATAGTCTGGTCCAGGGTCAAATGAACACAAACTATTCTTCAATAAATTTCACAAAGTCCACATAGCGTTCATTCTTCTCCCTACTGCATTTCAGAACCATGTAGTAATTTCCTTATTTTTTTTATTTTGTTTTTAATTCTAAAATGGTTTTGCTCTTGCTTTTATGTTTAAGCCTTGTTTTCTAGAGTGACCCTTGTGTCAATGCAGTGTGGTGATCATCCAGTGATTAGTCAGAGGTTGTGCTCAAACAACTCAATCCAGCAAATCTTCCTACCCCTGTTGACATGTTTGTAGATTGGAGATCGTATTCAAAGTCCAGAAGGTTTCAAGTCTGATCTGCCTTTTATCTACACCAGGGCCTAATAGGTTCAGCCAGGAATATGTGGAAGCTTAACAAGACTCTCCAGGGTTCTCTCATTCCCAGAATCTCCTTATTAAATTTTCAGCTGGTTCACTGGTCTGCAGAATGGCCCAAGAGGAATGAGAATTTCACGCTAGCTATGAGATTGTCCATCAGCATTTATTTACTGTTAAGAACGCTAATGTTTTTGACAATGCTTGGGACCAGTTTTTCCACCCTCTACTTCAAACCCAGTCCGATCTCTTGTGGGTCAAGTTTCTGGTGTCCACTGCAGACCTACTTGGGTAAAACTTGATAGAGGAGCTGGGATGAAAGAATGCTCCACAGACACCCCTCATTCTTATCCCACGTGCAGCAAGTTTTCATGAAGTAACACATCAAGTTGCTTCACTCTGACTACTAGGATCCTGAAATGGTGGGGTTTTGACAACACTGTTCAGTTTTATAGTTTTTTTTGGGGGGAAGAGGATTTGGTGAGCTCCTTATTCTGCTATCTGAAAAGTCCTACCCTTCTGACAGTGGCTTTAAAAGATTGCAGAACTGCTCCTGAGGCATTTTTAAACTAAAGGCTAAAATTTTAGTCTTCAGAAAGTTTATGGAATGTGTCTATTATGAAAAACATCTACACATGGATTTCAAAACTTATTTGGCCCAAAATAAACTTATACTTTAATTCCATTGTTTTCCCATGAATTTTCTGAAATCCTCTTGTACGTTTAGATCTCTATAGATTATAACTGAGAAAATCTTTAGTAGATACAGGGATCTCAACATTTTAATAACGTCATCAACCTTCCGGGGTACAGCCCAGAAACATGCTGGCATGTGTGTACGCATGCCCAAAATCCCCGAAGGAGGGAGAAATGGAAGAGAATGAATTGCAGAGGGACCATTGCCCAATGGGGGGTACTTTCTTATTTTTCCTCTCTTTGTTCATGTGCCTTCTAGCTTAATAGATACATAGATGATATAGATAGATAGATAGATAGATAGATAGATAGATAGATAGATAGATAGATAAATTAAAATCTGAGTTAAATTGCACCGTAAACCAAATGGACTTCATTGACATTTATAAAACATTTCATTCAGCAGATGCAGAATACACACTCAGCACATTAAAGCATTCTCCAGGATAGACCATATATAAGGCCACAAAGCAAGTCTCAACAAAAATGTTAAAATCCATATCAAGTACCTTTTCTGACCACAATAAATCAAAATAGAAATTAGTAACAAGAGGACCTTTGGATGCTGTATAGATACATGGGATTCAACTACATGCTCCTGGACCATTGGGCCCAGGGAGGAATTAAGCAGGAAATTTAAAGATTTCTCAAAACAAATGAAAATGCAAATGCAACACAGGGAAACCTGTGGGATACAGTAAACACCACACTTAGACAGAAGTTTACAGCAATAAATGCCAACATCTAAGAGGTAGAAAGTTTTCAAATAACCT